AGTAGGCGGAAATACTTGGTCTGTGTTTCTTACATAAAATAATCCATTCCAAAGTCACGTGCAGTAAGCAGCTTGAACGGGTTTCCCTATCAGTACCAAGTAGATATCCTCGCTATTGCAGTTCTTTTCTAAAAACATTTCACATACCTATGCTGTCTTTGAAAAAAATACCTCACCGATTATCTATCGGCATCGAGCATTTAACCTGAATAGAGCGGTATTGTTATTTGTTTTGTAAGAAAACAAATTCCGCCAAAACGCTGCGCCGGTCGCTGCGCTCTGATTGGCCGATTCAAAGTCAAGTATTGCACTAGAGCTGTCCAATAAAATATTTGTTACCGTAAACCGTAAAAATCGTAATCGTAAGTTTAATATCTATCTCGCGAGTATGTAAACTGTTGAAAGATTGTGAACCCGTAACATACTGCTTACAATGTAACGTGTGTTATTTTTCGGTAGATTGTAATAATATATCTGAAAATTGTAATAATATATGTTGAAATTAGTCAAAAGGTTGTTTTGATCGAAAGTTGTTATAAAGCCTAACCTTTTTTATGGTTTCGTACCTGTAAAGGAAAAAACGAAACCCTTATGGGAACAGGTAAGTAGGTACATAACGGATTTATATATAATTTTTTTGTTACAAATATATTTTATTTAGGACTATTAGGTAAGAGTATATGAAGGTGTTCGTGCGTGTGATCGAAATAATAAATTTTTAAATGAAACTTCCATACTTAAAAAAATATAGTAATAAATGAAATAAAATTGAATTTAAGGCTATAAATGAAATTATAAAAAATTAATGAAATAAAACTATTGTATCATATGAAAAATTAAGGAAAAACTCGCAAAATGTCAATATTTTTGTTCATTTAGTTATAGGTATAATAAATTCAAGATTTAAATGTTACTTATGCGTTACTATTACTGGTTTTTAAAGTGAATTAATTTAGTATAAATTCTTCTCACTGCTTGTTTCTCGTTATATTTCTTTCTTTTGCTGAGGAATGTTAGTCTCGTATCTACATATTTTTTTATGATACTTTGAGCTAAATCAGTTATATGGTTTGTCTCTTCTGTGTAATTTTGGTGGTAGTCATATTCGGGAAATAGTTTTTCTCCTACAAAACTGCTCATTGTTTTGTGAACTAAGAAGTCACTTGTACATCGTCGTACTATGTCTACACTCTCAATGAAAAATTTTTTTATGAATTGCTCCGAACGGCGGCAAATTTTTTGCACGTTAACTGATGGATATATTAAGCCCCCCTTATCTCTGTAAAAAATTAAACTTCTCTTATTTTCTGACAAGCATACTAATGCTTGCACGCAAGTGACGCATTTAATACGTTTAATTAGTGCGCTAGACACATACCCTGCTATGTATTCTATCACATTCTCAGAAAACTGTGAAAGCTCGACAGCTTCCATCCGAATATTAAATTCTTCTTCGTTTTCATGATCATCATCATTAACATTCTGCTCAGTTTCGCTGTGAGTGGTCAAGTTTATTCTTGTGATTGCCGAAGAACAATTAAGAATTGATATCTTCTCTAACGGTATGCAGTTACCCGTCGATGTTTGTAATAATTCTGTATGAATTAAGCATTTCTTGTAAATGGCTTCGAATAAGCGGGGTGTAGGATTGTCATTTGAACCACCATGTGATCTCATATTAGCAAAAAAGAGTTCTATGTGATCCTGTGAAATTTTGTGCATAGGTAAGTATCTTATAGGACAATTTTTATCACAAATTAAATCCTTAAATAAACCTTTAGTACTTTCGATTGCAACAAAGAAACCTAGAAATCCAGTAAACCGTGGTGATTCTATCAATTTTACTTGTTGCGTCTTCTTTCGTATTATTATTTTTGTAGTGACAGTCACCAAAAACCTTTTGCATTCCTCTAGTCTATCAAAGATTCTAGTATGATTATCAAAATTCAAAGCCCGTTTGTATCCATACCCGTGAACTCTGGAATCTAAAATATCAAATAGATCGTTTATGAGTAGGATCATTCTGGATGTCGCATCAACTCCTTGAAAGTCTGTCAATTTTAACTCTACTTCGCAAAAATCTAATGCTGTAGCTACGCTGCGACTGAACAATTGTGTAGCTAATTTTACTTTCATTATATTCGTTTTAAAATAAATGTGTTCAGCGCGTAACTTATTGGCAAGGTGAAAATTCTCTTTTTCTTGGAGCTCCTGTAATAATTTTAGGTAATCCCATCGTATAGTGTTGCCGTTCTCATCTTGAAATTCTTGATATTTTTCAAAAGTATTTCTGACCAATTTGAGCATATGCACGGGATCCAAAAATACGAAAACATTAGCACTCGTCACAGGATGTTTAAAGCTCGTCTTTAGCTGCTCTTTTTGTAATTTGCATCCTAGTTGCTTTGCCATTGCCAAGTTTGCTGGACAGCCGTCGAAGGTCAATGCTTTGACAGTAATTTTGTTTTCATGGCACAGCTCAAGAGCAATATTTACCAGGTTAGCTTTTTGTTCTCCACTGGTTTTATCGACTAGAAAGTAACCAATTGGTACTTTGAAACTTCCGTTGAATGGGACTACTAAAAGCACTAGTGCTTCTGTGCATTCATTATTGCAGTCAGTTTCCAGTTGATTACCAAAATCCACGTAGCCGAATGAACGTTGAGTTGATGGTTCATATTCTACCTTGCTTTTTATTTTCATCTCATCGAATACAAGGGTATACATCAACTCTTCTTTTGATGTTTCTGCTCTGGCTTTTAAGGCGTTGAAAGCCTCTGTTGTGAAACCCGGCCTACCGTCCACAGTCTGGTACCATTTTGTTAGTGTTCGCATGGAAGGTAAACAAGTATTGAAGGTATTTCTTACATATTTGTAAGCTTTTGATGAATAAAAATTCAATGTGAGAGCGAAAGTTCTCAATTCAGGCGAATATTTCTTTTTAATAATTTTTCCCGTTTTACATTTCAGATACTGACGATGAACGATTTCTTGATTAAGTACACCAATTTTTTTTAAAATATCTGCGTCTTCGGCTTTAATGAGATTTTTCTTTTCTAATTCCTTTATTATAACTTTTAAAGATGCCACTCTTTTTTTATAGTAACGGACTTTGTCCCTTAATACCTTAATTGTTTTATTTTTATGCTTAACTTGACTTGTTAACTGCAAAACACGTCTGCAAAGACGTTTTTTGGTCGGAGAGTGAAAATTTGAAGGAGTTTCAGGTTCGGTAGCTTTTCGTTTACTTCCCCTTGGTGTAGTTGATATCGAGTCCTTTTGAGAAGACGATGATGGTATCGGACTTGTATCTTCTGGAACTAATATGTTACTCTGCAAAGAAAACAAAATTATACATATATCGAGTCTGTAAAGACAATAGGTTTGATAATGAAGTTGAATAAAATAGATTATGTATTATATATCTTACCACTACAGGCAAATTTAGTGTAGGAATTGCGGTATCAAACAAGCGGCGGCGACTTTTTGATGTATAAAAACAATCTTCTGTAAAATGTCTGGAGCAAATGACACTATAATTACTTGGAAACCAGTTTTCCCTCTTTGCACAATCTATCCATTGTTCTTTAAGATTCGGATCCTTAGGAAACCTAAAAAAAAAAAAACAAATTACAAAAAATGTGAAAAATATTACTTTTTAAAAAGACTCGCCGGCTATTTCAGTTTCTATTATGCTTAATTTACAAATTCTGTTTAAATTATAGACGTCCCTGTGTAGATTTTGTCTAAAAGTAACTTCAATTACAGTCATTTTTAACTTAGTCATTATTAGTTACCATCATTATAACTTTTAATTAAAGTAGCTGACTGAAATTTTGTAGATTATTATTTATTTTATATTACTAGCAGCGCACCGAGGTTGCACTCGCATAGTTTCCGTTTCCGAGGGGAAAACCGGGATATAAACTGTCTGTGTGCTAAATTTCATTCAAATTCGTTCAGTAGTTTTTAGCGTGACACGCAAACATCCCAACATATAAACAGCCAAATTTTCAGATTTATATTTTTAGTAGGATTTGTATTATTATTAGTAGAATATTTTTGTATTGAGGTCTGGTGTGCTTAAATTAATCGACAAAGTAACTCACTACCTACTACTCACTCTAGATCGACTTATTTGAACTTTGTCTTGAAATGTATTCAATTTATTACATCTACTTATTTGTTTAAACAAATAACCTGTTCCGGTAAATATCCGGTAAAATAAAAAAACCGGTATAATCCGGTAATTTGATTATGACGCAGCACTAGTAAACACGTAATAAATAAAATGAGATGGCTTATATTGGTTACACCTAGGTAAGAGCAAGACGCATAGACAAGCGTCTAAGTGTTTCATTCTAAATGGCCAGTTTAACTTGAGCCGTATTAAATGGATGTAAATTGAAGCAAAATCAAAGTTTATTGATACTTACCGATGAAACGTGATTCCGTCTGTTTTATAATTCGATGTCTTGCTGTTTTTTCCACACCACCGAATAGAACAACACGACATTATGGGGTTTAATATACCAAACTATGAATATTTTCGGGAGTATCGGGAAACGTACACACAGATCATTTGTTGGTGAGGTACTGTTTTAGGGCGAGCGTGAATTGCTATTTATCAGTGACAAATCACTGATCAGTTTCGGAATTGGATGGCTCACATTACTACTCTATTCAGGTTAAATGCTCGATGTCTATCGGTGAGTCCTCATTTACAATGAAAAAACAATTCTATTTTCCTTTCTTTCTCAATGTTTTGTATGTATTTAACGGTTAATGTTATGTTCACTTGTTATTGATAAACATATCAGTGAGCGTGTTACTTTTCATATAATTTAGTGTGTAAATGTTTAATAAGTTTATTGTAAGTGTGCTTATGAAATAAATAAAAACAAACTCACTTAATTAATTACGATCGAATTTCGACCATTATACGACCACTAGTATAATGTATAATTAATTAACGTGTTTAAAGGCGAGCTTGTCCGCAGATGGCACTTCACGCGTTGTCCGCTGTGCCAGTGCAACGGTCACGCCGTGTGCGACTCGTCCGCGCGCTGCATTCAGCCGTGCAGCGGTCGCGCGATTGGCGAGCACTGCGACACGTGCGCGCCCGCGCACTGGGGCAACCCGCTCAACGGCGGAGTGTGCCAACGTGAGTCAACAACACAACAACACACCACCTATATACAACTACACACTACTGCACTGCGACACGTGCGTGCCCGCGCACTGGGGCAACCCGCTCAACGGCGGAGTGTGCCAACGTGAGTCAACAACACAACAACACACCACCTATATACAACTACACACTACTGCACTGCGACACGTGCGTGCCCGCGCACTGGGGCAACCCGCTCAACGGCGGAGTGTGCCAACGTGAGTCAACAACACAACAACACACCACCTATATACAACTACACACTACTGCACTGCGACACGTGCGTGCCCGCGCACTGGGGCAACCCGCTCAACGGCGGAGTGTGCCAACGTGAGTCAACAACACAACAACACACCACCTATATACAACTACACACTACTGCACTGCGACACGTGCGTGCCCGCGCACTGGGGCAACCCGCTCAACGGCGGAGTGTGCCAACGTGAGTCAACAACACAACAACACACCACCTATATACAACTACACACTACTGCACTGCGACACGTGCGTGCCCGCGCACTGGGGCAACCCGCTCAACGGCGGAGTGTGCCAACGTGAGTCAACAACACAACAACACACCACCTATATACAACTACACACTACTGCACTGCGACACGTGCGTGCCCGCGCACTGGGGCAACCCGCTCAACGGCGGAGTGTGCCAACGTGAGTCAACAACACAACAACACACCACCTATATACAACTACACACTACTGCACTGCGACACGTGCGCGCCCGCGCACTGGGGCAACCCGCTCAACGGCGGAGTGTGCCAACGTGAGTCAACAACACAACAACACACCACCTATATACAACTACACACTACTGCACTGCGACACGTGCGTGCCCGCGCACTGGGGCAACCCGCTCAACGGCGGAGTGTGCCAACGTGAGTCAACAACACAACAACACACCACCTATATACAACTACACACTACTGCACTGCGACACGTGCGTGCCCGCGCACTGGGGCAACCCGCTCAACGGCGGAGTGTGCCAACGTGAGTCAACAACACAACAACACACCACCTATATACAACTACACACTACTGCACTGCGACACGTGCGCGCCCGCGCACTGGGGCAACCCGCTCAACGGCGGAGTGTGCCAACGTGAGTCAACAACACAACAACACACCACCTATATACAACTACACACTACTGCACTGCGACACGTGCGTGCCCGCGCACTGGGGCAACCCGCTCAACGGCGGAGTGTGCCAACGTGAGTCAACAACACAACAACACACCACCTATATACAACTACACACTACTGCACTGCGACACGTGCGTGCCCGCGCACTGGGGCAACCCGCTCAACGGCGGAGTGTGCCAACGTGAGTCAACAACACAACAACACACCACCTATATACAACTACACACTACTGCACTGCGACACGTGCGTGCCCGCGCACTGGGGCAACCCGCTCAACGGCGGAGTGTGCCAACGTGAGTCAACAACACAACAACACACCACCTATATACAACTACACACTACTGCACTGCGACACGTGCGTGCCCGCGCACTGGGGCAACCCGCTCAACGGCGGAGTGTGCCAACGTGAGTCAACAACACAACAACACACCACCTATATACAACTACACACTACTGCACTGCGACACGTGCGTGCCCGCGCACTGGGGCAACCCGCTCAACGGCGGAGTGTGCCAACGTGAGTCAACAACACAACAACACACCACCTATATACAACTACACACTACTGCACTGCGACACGTGCGTGCCCGCGCACTGGGGCAACCCGCTCAACGGCGGAGTGTGCCAACGTGAGTCAACAACACAACAACACACCACCTATATACAACTACACACTACTGCACTGCGACACGTGCGCGCCCGCGCACTGGGGCAACCCGCTCAACGGCGGAGTGTGCCAACGTGAGTCAACAACACAACAACACACCACCTATATACAACTACACACTACTGCACTGCGACACGTGCGTGCCCGCGCACTGGGGCAACCCGCTCAACGGCGGAGTGTGCCAACGTGAGTCAACAACACAACAACACACCACCTATATACAACTACACACTACTGCACTGCGACACGTGCGTGCCCGCGCACTGGGGCAACCCGCTCAACGGCGGAGTGTGCCAACGTGAGTCAACAACACAACAACACACCACCTATATACAACTACACACTACTGCACTGCGACACGTGCGTGCCCGCGCACTGGGGCAACCCGCTCAACGGCGGAGTGTGCCAACGTGAGTCAACAACACAACAACACACCACCTATATACAACTACACACTACTGCACTGCGACACGTGCGTGCCCGCGCACTGGGGCAACCCGCTCAACGGCGGAGTGTGCCAACGTGAGTCAACAACACAACAACACACCACCTATATACAACTACACACTACTGCACTGCGACACGTGCGTGCCCGCGCACTGGGGCAACCCGCTCAACGGCGGAGTGTGCCAACGTGAGTCAACAACACAACAACACACCACCTATATACAACTACACACTACTGCACTGCGACACGTGCGTGCCCGCGCACTGGGGTAACCCGCTCAACGGCGGAGTGTGCCAACGTGAGTCAACAACACAACAACACACCACCTATATACAACTACACACTACTGCACTGCGACACGTGCGCGCCCGCGCACTGGGGCAACCCGCTCAACGGCGGAGTGTGCCAACGTGAGTCAACAACACAACAACACACCACCTATATACAACTACACACTACTGCACTGCGACACGTGCGTGCCCGCGCACTGGGGCAACCCGCTCAACGGCGGAGTGTGCCAACGTGAGTCAACAACACAACAACACACCACCTATATACAACTACACACTACTGCACTGCGACACGTGCGTGCCCGCGCACTGGGGCAACCCGCTCAACTGCGGAGTGTGCCAACGTGAGTCAACAACACAACAACACACCACCTATATACAACTACACACTACTGCACTGCGACACGTGCGTGCCCGCGCACTGGGGCAACCCGCTCAACGGCGGAGTGTGCCAACGTGAGTCAACAACACAACAACACACCATCTATATACAACTACACACTACTGCACTGCGACACGTGCGCGCCCGTGCACTGGGGCAACCCGCTCAACGGCGGAGTGTGCCAACGTGAGTCAACAACACAACAACACACCACCTATATACAACTACACACTACTGCACTGCGACACGTGCGTGCCCGCGCACTGGGGCAACCCGCTCAACTGCGGAGTGTGCCAACGTGAGTCAACAACACAACAACACACCACCTATATACAACTACACACTACTGCACTGCGACACGTGCGCGCCCGTGCACTGGGGCAACCCGCTCAACGGCGGAGTGTGCCAACGTGAGTCAACAACACAACACACCACCTGCATAATTCAATGTAATTCAATTTATTTAACTCTTTACAATTTACTGGCTAGATAACAAAAAATAAAATATCAAATATATAATGATTTCTTATATTTACGCGAAGACTACACGTTAAATGAAACTCATTTTTAGGAAGCACCCCAAACGTGTGGAATTAAAAAGTTAAATTAAACGCGATAAAATCCGTAAAAATTAGTTTCATTTACTTATCTTCACGCACAATCCCTGACGGGGCAACCGGGGTAGCCAGGGTAGTTTCATTTAAAATCAAATATATGTTGAAACAAAAAATCAGGCAATATTTATGAACATACGTAAAGGACAATGGCAAACTGGAGACAGGTGGCGCTATTTAAGCGGTTAACATAGGCTCCGTATAATATTTGTTTTAAAAATATTATAAACAAACTTTATTGAACTTTACTATAATATAAGTATTAATTCTAACATAATTTAGTATGTCCAGTGTTATCTCGTTGTTTGGAGCAAGATTATCAGTGTGAAGTTGATTAAAGTAATCTAGTGAATCAGTGAACTATAAATTGTTATTGTTTTGAATTTTTTGTACTAAGATTCAAAAGGCTTACAACGCTGTGAAGTTTCTACTTTGGAGGAGACGGTGTCACAGTTGAAGTCTCAAATATTGGAACGTGATCAAGACTTGCTCTCTAATGATATCCAGATAGCGGGATTCCCTGAATCGAGTGGTGAAAATACCGCACATATTATCTTGGCTATTGCCAAAAAATTAAGCGTGAACCTGGATGAGCGCGATGTGGTGTCTTCAGAACGTACAGGTTTCATACGTGATATTGGCGAGGGTCCTACAGTTCCGCGGCCACGTCTTTTAGTTGTGCGATTGGCGCGTCGTGCTCAGCGTGATGCGCTAATACAGGCGGCACGCGTACGGCGTAATAACCACTGAAGGTCTGGGACAGACGGGAATAGCTCGCAAAATTTATGTCAACGAGCGTCTTACTAAGCACAATAGCCGGTTATTTTATAAAGCCCGTGTGGCAGCCAAAAGCATTGGTTGGAAGTATGTATGGTCACGTGACGGAAAGATTTATGTAAGGAAGGAACATGGGAGTGAGCAACATCGGCTTCGGTTGGAAGAAGATTTAGCTAAGGTTTTTGGTGTTGAAGCTGTTGGCTCTAAAACTATGTCACTCGGCGAATAATAGGAATATATTATTTTTAATTATTTTAATACAAACTTCTCACATTAACTTACAATTTTTTTATCTCATTGTTATATTCAGGCAGATTAGCTATATATAAATGTATAGTGATTATTATTTTACGTTTGCTTGCTTCAACACATTCTGTATTTTATAACGATACAAAGGTTATGTGCTCAAAGATTTCTTACTTTTTAATGTTCTATTTATTTGTGAGTAAAAATATTAAATTATGTGTAGAACGGTTAATATTTGCAACAAATGTGGCATGTGTTTGCATATTGCGCGTTGTGTGTAGCGTGCGAGTGCAACGCGCAGGCGGTATCGTGCGCGGCGGACACGGGCCGCTGCCACTGCAGCACCAAGGGGCTGGCGGGCGACCGCTGCGACAAGTGCGACAACACCAACCACTACCACGCAGACCTCTACAACAAGGGCGCCTGCTACTGTGAGTGCACCAACACCCGACACTCGCGGACGTGTAACATAGCAAGCATACGAGTCCAAATGTTAAACTGTTTGGAACTGAATACGCTTTTAATTGTCACACTTATTTTTAATAAGCATTTTCATTCATTTATTTACAGCCTATCAAAAGTTTACTACTGAACATAATACTATGAGATATTTGCCATAGCTGCCACGCTTGGCGCGTATGTTGACAACCACAGTTTTTTTTAATTATTTTAGGTGTTATCAGGAAAATGCTGCTACCCATCTCCTATTTCATTTCAATCTGTAGACCTACGTGATAATATGAAATGTTATAATAACTAATATATAATTATATGTAATTACCAATTAGTCTTCCGTGTTAACAGACTGACAGAGAATACCTTGTTAGAACATTTACTCTACGTTTTTGTATTATTACAATGTGTAAATAAAACTTATATCAAGTTTTTAATATATTTAGCAACAAATTGCAAGAAAATATTTTTATCCGATATTCCACGAAAGTTTTTTTTTAAATACTAGCAATGCTATTAACATTACTAATATTCCCTTTTAACTACTCCTAGTGAGCGTAAAATGCTTGTGTTAGAAGTGGTTCACGACAATAGTCGAAAGGTGGATTTGAACCCACGACCTTTTCAGTTCGTGGTCCGCACCCTGCCATTAGACTACTGTCATTTCATTTTGTGTACAACCAGTGCATGTTGCCAGTGATAACTCACGGAACTAAAGAATATATCATTCTCTACGTTTTACGGTACTGAAACTTGGTCATTTACTGCTGGCCGTATGAAGAAGCTCAAGTTACTAGGCGTACGATGGAAAGGAATATGTTTAAAAAAACAGTCGTCCATATAGCTCGAACAACAGATGAGGAAAGAAGGTTCTCGATTGCAGCCTCTTTCTGGAAAGCGCAATTGGGCGACATCCCACTCGATGGAGTAACGGTCTGATAAAACACACAGGTATTGGATGGATGCAGGTGGCTCAGGACTGCACATCTATGGGGAAATGTCTATGTTCAACAGTGGACTTGTGATGGACTGTAGTGATACATGAAGCAAATACAAAGAGAAGGTGTTGTTAAATTTCACTATGTAACAACGTGTGACAATTTACGGGGTGAGGGGATGTTAAGCCCCGCCCACTTTACACTATATAATAAATATACCGATAAATAGTAAAACTACTCGAATCGTTCCATATCGATGTTGCAATATAGTTTAGCTACCTTGACGATAGATGGCGGCCTGTTAACAAAATTACTATAAACTATAAAAATAATATTTTGGCGATTAAAAATTCTTCAAGACTGAATGCAAAACAAATTTCAGCACCGTATGATTATTTTACCAATACTGAGTTCTACGTACCTTTATATTTTTAGTTCACATGACATAAAGTGTCGCCATCTAGTGTCGAATATATTTAATTATATTTGAAAGCCGACGCAAAGATATTTTTCTAGAACTATTTTATTAAATTAGGTGTAAAATTACTTACAAATGAAATCTGATGCCATCCATTTATACATCATAGCGTCTATCTGAGTAGTTTTTACATGATAAAACACAACACTTCATCCTTTTCTTCTTAATACTACGAAAATACACCGATTTGCGATTTTCAACACATAAGTGCACAGGACGAATGCTGATAGTATACTAACTAAAGCCACGCCTACCATGATGACGTCAGGACCTACTTAGAATCACAGTACACAGTTGCTTATGCCGTCTCTTCTTTGTATTTGCTTCATGGTAGTGATAGTACAAGTGATATCCGACATCCAGAAAGCATTTCTTTGAATTTTGAGTGATAGATGTCGCTTATCAGTTATCCCCGGACTAGATGGAGCGACGATCTGGGCAAGTTGGCTAGTAGGAGCTGGATGCGTTTAGCCGAAGACCGGTCTAAGTGACGTGTCTTGGGAGAAGCCTATGTCCAGCAGTGGATTGCCGCAGGCTGTTGATGATGATTTTAGTTCAGAGTGAATCCACTCAATTGCTTTTACTTTTCACATAAATATTCATATAATAAGAAAAATTTAACTTTTTTGCAGACGATCTAGCCGTTGACTACCAGTTCACCTTCAACTTATCTAAAAAGGAAGACAGGCATCTTTCAGCAATCAACTTCCGGAATGCGCCAGTAAAACCGGATGTGGATGCGGATTTTAGCATAACGTGTTCTGCGCACGCCCGAATGAATCTCACTGTGCGAACGCGAAGCGATCCCACAGAGAGAACGCTCTTCAGCGACGTGAACTGCACTAACTTCCGCTATAAGTAAGCCTTGTGCTCACGCACCAACTTTCTTTCTTTGGTAATGGACTTGTACTGTTGTAGTTTTGCCAGTGTCAAGTATTATGAAGTTATGCTTTAAAATAATTTGTCAAAAAACTTCTTTACAATATGTTGATGCGTGTCACGTTGCGAAGTTCTTGGGAGATTTTGAATGCAGTTTGAGCCAGCAGATGGTCGATAACGACAAGGAGTCTTAACAGATACATATCTTGAGATTCAAATCACTTGTTTCTGCACTTGTTTCATCATTTCGCGCCACCGGCGGTCAAGTTCCTGCCAAAACTCCTGCACCATCTTATAGACTACTTTGCACAGAATAGAATAGAATAATATTTTTATTCAATATAGATTATTAAACAATACTTATTGATAGTATTTTCTTTTATTTACTACACAAACCGTCTTCCGCTACAAATATGACTTATGTGCACACGTATGTTCTTCCGCTATAAGTAAATCATCATTCACTCACACACACGTCGTCCGCTGCGAGTATGTCATGCACACACGTGCCAACTCTAGTTAAAAGTCAGTCTGTGCCACTTCGGCTACACTTAATTCATGTATAAACACAGCATTATCTGCTACAAAAGAGGCATCTATACACAGTCTCGTGTGCGTGCATTAGCTTAGTATCATACCATATAGCTCTTATTTTTTCTTTGAATCACTCCAATATTAGCATAAAGGTAAAATAAGGTAATGTCATTACAATATTATGTTAAATCTAATATTATTAATAATAATAACAACACTAATAATTTATTATATTTAGTTAACACTACACATTGAATGAAATTTATTTGAACGAATTTTATCGTAAAATTAGTTAGTTTTATTTTTATAGTCAGATATATAAAAAAATAAAAAGTGAAATTTAAATACGATAACTTCCGTAAAATAAGTTTTATTCAATAACAACTTACCACTAAGTAACAAATATTGAAATCCATATTATTAACAAAAGTAATGTAATAAAATTTATAATGAAAAGTTTCTACTTGATTTGCTAGGTGTAATATAAATTAACCCTCTAACAATAATGATGTTTTCTATAAAGTCCTGAAACTAATTAATTAATCTTTATAAAATTTCTTGTAAAAATTTGTTAGAAGCACTCTATAATAATTAAGTAAGGCCGTTCCACTACAGGTTCGCCAAATCGGAGCATGCGTTCGGCGTAGAAGACAACGTCACGCTTACAACCTTCTTCGTCTACGTGTACGACTTCCGGCCGCCATTGTGGATACAGATCTCGTTCTCGCAGTACCCCAAGTTGAACCTGCAGCAGTTCTTTATCACGTTTTCCTCCTGCTTCCTGCTGCTGCTGCTTGTTGCTGCAGCGCTTTGGAAGATTAAACAGGTGATTTTATCTCTAACATTTTTTAATATCAAATAATGTGATCTGAATGGGATGAAGCCTTCTCGAAGTTTAATGAACTTCGATATGTAGTTGATTGAACTCGTTTTACCCAGAATCTGGTGATTTAGCCTGCTAAGGGGTTGATAGGGGTGGTTTCTATCCCTAAAAAGTGAATTCCCGCAGTGCTACAAGAAAGCAGACATAATTACGAGTATATAAAAAAATTATTTAATTTGGATTAGATTTACTGCCTCGCGCGTAGTTTTAATCGTTTCCGCCCACTGTGCGCCGTCCGTCATAAAATCTTTCCTCAAGTTCGGAAATATGACTCATCTCAATTATAACGGAAATCGTATCATTTTTTTTATATCATTACACGCGGAGTTATAATATATTCCGGTGTCGCAAGTGCATAGAGGTACAAGGCGGCCGTATTGAACAATATCTTCGTGGCCGTCAAGTAGACATACTCGTAGCAATGAATTAGTGTTTGTGCATAATTATTACAATCGGTCGAAGTAAAATATTTAAAGTTGTGATAATCGATTACCAAAGTGTTATGTGACGAGTTCACGCCGTGTTTGATGTACGCCGCCGCTGACCGCCGCGGCTTGCTGTTTCGCTTTGGCTTGCCATGCATCCATAATTTGAATATTTTTATGTTGAGTTTTCTAAAGTAAAGAAGTTATTTTTATACGTCTGATAACGCACTTAAAAGAACCACAGAGTTCTTGTTACATATTGTATTTTGTCTGCACTAATGAAAAGCCATAACATCAGAAGACAGGATAACTGACAGATAACTTCTATATTATAAATATTCGTTATCAATCTAAATTTAACTACTGCAATAATATCCCCAACATAAGGTATTATTAAAATAACAAAGAACACGACGAGTCAATCAGGCCAGAACTGTTCCAGAAGATCTGAATTGATATCACAATGGGTGGACACCTCGATAGTAACCCAATGATCAACATTTCAGACAAGGTCCAGATCATAGATACTCACTGCACGGTTGAGTCGAGTCCTAAAACAAGACTGCTTGCTTAGCTTTCCGAGTGGTTCATATGCTTATTGCATTGCATTATTAATTTGATTTTTTATCCTAATAATTTTCTTTGCGTTTTCCCATATTACGAGGGCTGCACTAAAAGTATCGGGAATAAAATATTTCCACTGTTCCTGTCATATGAAAATCTTTTTAATTGAAAACTCCTTGGTTTTAAAAATCGAATACCATTTATTTATTTAAAAAAAGATTCTCGGTCTTGCCACAAGGTTTTATCAAACTTTGCCACAAGGTTAGAGAAAATGGAATTGACTCTCGAAAGATTCCACGCAGGTTCCTCATGCTGTATACAACATCGTATCAGGTGATGAATCCTGGTGTTACGGCCTACGGCTGCTCTCTTAAAGGATCAGATCCTCAGGGGCCCATGAGCTGAAGACCTCTCGAGCAGACGTAGGTCGGGCCTCCTAAGGCCACGTGGAATCTCTCTAATTACACTAAAATATATGGGGGAGCGTTATACTACGGCCAGTCGACCGGAAGGAATTTGGCGGAGTTCACTTACCTCGATCCAAGACGACTGGTCCCTCCGGAGTCGGTCAGGTCGCATGTAGTTGTGTAGTGCAAGGGAAAGAATGGTGATGTGGTGTGTATCTGGGTGTGACTGATGGTGATTAAACCTGGACCTTAGCCGTCGGCAGCAGCCCGAGCGTCGACACCGCTCCAATTTGAGGGGGCCTTTCGAGGTTATCCACAGTCACTTTCTTGGTTCACCACGATGACAGTCACTTAACTCTATCGTACGATTAACTAGCTTACAGAAGCCACTAACTATCGCGGGGTATAAGGTTACCGCACAAAACACGCCCGGAGTTTCTGGGTCAAAGGTCACTACCGTTTCGCGTGGCAACAGTTAGTTCTAAATACCGAGGCCGCACTAGCTTATATTGTCGAATGCACTTATGCAGGTTCTGAGTCAGACACAATAAGTCCCGGGAAGCTCTCCAGTAGGAATGCGCGTCACAAATCCTAGACCGTATATTTACGGGCCGCACCTAATTATTCCGAGTTCCCTAACAGAACGGACCGCGTGCTCACGTCAGCACCGATTATGGACGATTGACGCGCTTGCGACCCGCGCGCCACTGCCACGCTCGGAAGAACTTCAGACCGGAATCGCGCCGAGCCGAGTGACATCTGTTGTCGATTCCGACAACAGAGTTTTGCGCGAACACCTGGATATACGCGTACGAACCCGAAACAAAAAACCAGTTTGGGTGTTCGAAAATGAGTTAAAGCCAACAAAAATTGTTCGTTCACGGAGTGTTGCAAAAAAAAATGGTGGCCACGTTTGTCTCCAAAACCGGCCATGTTACGACTATTCCTCTTGAGGGACAAAGAACGGTTAAAGCAGAATGGTATGCTAGCATTTGTTTGCCACAGGTCGTTTCTGAACTCCGTAAAGAGAACTGCAACCGCCGCATCATCCTCCATCACGATAATGCGAGTTCTCATACCGCACACAGAACAAAAGAGTTTTAAGAGCAAGAAAACATAGAATTATTAGACCATCCGTCGTACAACCCCGACTTAAGCCCTAATGATTTCTATACTTTCCCTAAAATAAAGAATAAATTGCGTGGACAGAGATTTTCATCACTTGAAGAAGCTGTGGACACCTACAAAACGGCCATTTTGGAGACCCTCACTTCCGAATGGAATGGTTGCTTCAATGATTGGTTCCATCGTATCGAAAAATGTGTCAAATTTCGCAGAGAATACTTTGAAAAGCAATAAATACATTTTTAAATAGTAATGTTGTGTCACTTCCTTGATTCCCGAAATTTTCAGCGCCGCGCTCGTATATACCTGAAATAGATGTCGACATAAATTACTATTTTATTAAATACATTAATGTCTGATAATCACAATAACCAATACATAAAAAACATACCTAGTTAGTCTCCTTACTCGAAGAATATAAATAATTTTAGCAGTCATGTCCGACACTCATGACCCACCCTTATACTAGGTCAAACAATAGATGTATTCAATCGGCTCGAATCGACGCGAACTACGAACGGATCTGCAGTCACCTCAAAAATTGAGACGACACTAATTTTTTACGCGCGTGTTCTCTAACATAAAGCGAATTACGGTACGCTAACTACTTCATACTAAAATGTATGGGCAGCGGGGAACGATTTTTACTAAAAATGAATGATGTTTAGGCTTAGATTATTGCTTTTTGGTTTGAATTAGTAACAAAAGTTAATGGTGAATGTATTATCTAGACTTTCATTTCACGTTATAACCAAAATATTTTATAAAATAATAACGAAATAGCCGAGAGAGTTCAAATAGAAAAGGCCGTTTTAGGTATTTTTACTATCGTTGACTGAAAGTGAAAACTCATCTATTAACTAATTGAGATTTTTTTGTAGTGTCATTGAATGAAGTAAGTTCTTTAATATTTTTAAAACCATAACTACCTATACGAGCGTTTCTTAAGGAGCGGTCTCTTAATTGTGACAACTATTTCAAGAATCTTTCTGAAAGATGTAATCAAAACTTAGAGCCGTAAATAATTTTGTCACTTCATGCTCACTATGTTTATAGCTTAAGCCTAGTTCAAAGCCTAAGGGTGTTACCACACCAATCGATCGATCGTCGATCGATACCATTGATCGACGTTGATCGACGTTGATCGATGTCGATCGATTGGTGTGATAGCTTTACTGATCGACAGATACTAGTCGATAAAATGTTGTTCAATCATCGATCGATGATTGAATAACGAATAATCAAGCAGCTCGATCGACGTCGACTAATCCATTCTACTAGATGGATTCGTGTACTAACACCCTAACCGATCACTGTAAATTTCACACTACACTAGATCTTAGTTAAATTCTTCAGTGAAAATGTTAATTGAAATTTTAGTGTTGTTTCAAACACGTAGTGTCTAAGAATAAAAAATCGTCCCTATGAGGCAATTTATTGAGCATATATTGAGCAGTAAACTTTTGATAGGCTTCAATGTATGAATAAAACTAAATCATAGTAATTTTTTATTACCACGTTTTCTTTAACTTGCTTTGTTCTGTTTGTCTGTTTAGTACAAAACTACTATTTGTTATCGATTTTTAAACTAACTTCCCGCTAAATTAGACAAATGAAACTTTTAAAATAGCTTAGAATTAGAAATAAGGTAAAAATGGACGCCATTCTGAATTATAATGATTTATTTTTCTTTTCAGAAGTACGATATTTATAGGAGACGACAGCGGTTATTTGTCGAAATGGAGCAGATGGCATCTAGACCATTTAGTCAAGTGTGTGTGGAGCTAGAAAAGGGAGGTGGGGGTAAGTGATGAACATACACGAATAAATAAATATACAGTTTCATGTAAAGTGAGGTTCATGATTGCCTGATAATATTAAATGAAAAGAATAATTTTGGGAGCTTCACCTTGTGCTGTTAAAGTCTAAAGTGTAAAAAATATTTACACAAATGTACAGGTGTTCCATAACCCAACTTTATACTTTGAAAGACAAATAGGCCAGGTCATTACAGAGCAAAATATAGCTTGATACTCGTATTTATATGATATTGTTGTAAAACTATGATAATTTATTTTTAATTTAATTTACATAATCTCATATTCTGAAATTCTAGTTTTTGTTTCAAAAACATAAAAAAAATACAGTCGAAGTTGCCGACATAAAGTGGGTGTTTTGGCGCAGAATGAGGTCATTTACGATATTTTCTGCCACCAGGGTGGCACCACTTAGGAATGAGGTGATATATTTTATGGCGTGGGAGTTAATTTGTTAGAAAAATATTTCCTTCTGTAATATTAGTTATATTTTTATATTAATTACATTAGAAATGAATAAACAAAACTGGGTATTTTTAAAAGTAAAAAAAAATGAAATAGTTTAAAAAAAAAGAAAACTATTGAGGAATTTTTTTGTCGATTTACTTTAGGAACTGATAAGATTTTATTTAAATACAATTTTGTCAATTATATGACGACGTGTAACAAAAAAAAAACGTGTGTGATTCACACGCAATAGAAGTGAAACCTTCAGAAAAGGAGACCGATATAATAGGAAACACTGTATACTGTATGTTGTTGTACTGTTGTATGTTTTAACAGTGGTAGGGTCACGCTATAGCTTCTGCTGTAGCATGGATGGATCGGTTCGAACTGAAGAAGTACTACGATCTCATCTCTGGTATTCTACCAGCGTAAAGTAGAAGATTTGCTTCTGCGTTTCGCTTGGTAAGTGCAGGTGGTCGGAGGCCCTCCCCCCCACACCCGCCGACATAACATGGTAGCGGAATTAAAAAAGAAAAGACTACCCCAAGCGACATGTGAAGGAGGGAAGATTATTGTGGGGGTGCGGTTGCAGGCGGTGGCGTGCCGGCGCCGGTGGCGCTGGAGCCGTGCCGCGGCGGGCGCGCGGCCGTGCTGTCGCTGCTGGTGCGCCTGCCCACCGGCGGCACGGGCCGCGCGCCGCCGCTCGGCGGCCTGGCCGTCGCCTCCGCGCTCGTCACGCTCGGCCACCACCCGCCGCCGCCCGCCAAGCGCCGGCGCCGCTGACCCCGCGCGCGCACCGCACGGTGAGTCGCGCTTGCCCACTACGCACTGCACAGTAACTCACTTTCGACCACTGTGCACCACACCACACAGTGACTCTCACTTGGCCACTACACACTGCACAATGAATTGCGCTTAGCCACTACGCACCGCATCACATCGACCAGTACGAACCGCACAGTGAGTCACGCTCGGCCAGTATGAACCACACAGTGAGTCACGCTCGGCCACTACGTACCGCACCGTACAGTGAGTCTCACTTGGTCACTACGCACTGCACGGTGAATTGCGGTCGGTTACTATGCACCGCACTACACATTGAGGCGCGCTCGACTACTACTCACCGCAATACACTACACGGTAAGTCGCGCTTGTTACGCTCAGCGCCGAGTGAAGCACCTTTCTTTCTTTCTTTCTTCTTTCTTTCAATACTAAATTTCTTTCACGACGCCCAGTCAAAATAAAGACTAGCTATCGACGCAGGACAGGATTACCGAATTTGTACGCAAATACAAGTGCACTCTCTCTCTCAACGGTATGGTAATCCGACACGACCGGTATGGTGCAGGACCGAGGTGAAACCGCCTAATTCCTGACCCCAGATGCTACTGCAAATTACTTAACAGGTAAAAGCAATAACTAAATTTTAGGCTGACGCCGGAACTTTCGATAAATCCATGTAAGCTGGCGCATTATTGAAAAATTATTGTCCAACAATAGCTTTTAATAGGGTAGCGATGAAAATTTTACGTCAGTCTCGTTTCCCCTTAGCAAAATACTATACGACATTAGAAAAAGAGCTAAAATAATCGTCTCTAGTTATTTCAACGCTGTTGATATTTCTAATCTTTTTTGCAGCATACGCTGACGCTGCAGAACTAAGTCTGCTTGCTAGTTTAAACGTATAGAGGGCCCTATTAAAGCTTCGCGTCTAGAGTGATTCCAAGAAAAACGGTGGTATTAACAAGATTCAAGTCTTCCCCATTTAAAATTACTTTACAGTATTTAGCTGTTTAGCACCTAAAATTATTAATTTCATGCATTTAGTTTTAGTGCTACACATGCAAATTGTTAACGTTAAACAAATTTAAATTCAGCATTATTTACTTAGTCTTATTTTGGTGTCATTTTTGTATAAAATTAATGAAGCATGTACTATGTAAGGTAATCCATTTATATACATAAGAAACAGAAAGGGGTTTAAAATTGAGCCCTGAGGTACGCCAATTTGTGGTATCGCCCAGAAAGAACTCTTAGTGTTGATAACAACTTTTTGAGTTCTATTATTTAAATATGAAATAAGAAATTTAAAAACATCACTTCTTACACCATGCTGTTGTAGTTTCTTGGTTAACGTTCCGTGGTGAATACAATAGAAGGCTTTGGTTAGGTCACAAAATATTTGAGAAAATATGTGCGCAGTGATGTAACATTAATATTTATCTGACGTATGTTAAGCAGCAAAGTAAGGTTCGTCTACCTTCGTGAGATGAAACATTTATATCATGATGTTGGTTATGTGACGTTAACGTTTTCTTTTCTTTTTTTTTTTCAGATCAAAACACCAATGTAAATAAGTGCATATCGAGTAAGTACTGTACTGAGTGTGTACATAAGGATATGTATAGTGTTTTGCTCAAAGCCATGAAGTTTGATCCATAATACTCAGCGCCGGTCGCTTATAGCGCCTGATAGGTGGCCATCGATGTGCAAATATTCGTTTACTAATTTGTGGCAACTCAATGACAAAGAAAATTCATTTTATCTCGTTAATAGTCATTTATTTACCGATTTTAAGGTCTTCGATTTTCATTCATTAAAAAATAATATCGTCGTACTCGTGTTTGTGACAACAGTTGTTTTTGTTGTCAGTGTTAATATTTTTGATGCCATTAAATTAAATTGTAGGCCTGTGACGCGAAACATTTCATAAACTTGTTGCTTTACTTATTTTAGTTATCATAATATAAGAGTCGTGAATTTTGAAAAGTCCACTTAGTGGGAGTGTGAACTCAGAACAATAAATGAAGATAGACATAAAATTATGTACGTTTTACTTGACGCCAAAACTATTCTCAACTTTTTGATACGCACACACGCACACGTTTTTCTTTATGTATCAGCCCGTAAAGGTCCAATGCTGGACGCACACATAGGCACCTAAAAACTTGTTGTTTGCAAATGATTTTAGATACAAAAATGTGTGCTAAGTGCGTCTTTTACAATAATTTGAGCATGGTTTCGGCGTCACTTCAAATTCACAATGTGTTTTGTCTGTCTTTTTTTATTGGTCTGAGGCTATGAAATATAACTATATTACAATGATGTGAATGGCCATTTGACCCGCCCTAGTATTATTTTTTACATTTATTGAACTCATAAACATTTGAATTCAATAAATAATTGTTCTCTCTAATTTTTTATCAATTTTTTTTTTATTTAGTAGACTAGAAGGATGTTATAAAATATCGTTAAATGTGTCTACCTTATGTTGTAAGAATATAGTTTTCTATTTATTAATAATTTCGAAGTAAACAAATGATATAAATTATGTTTACGTAGTGAGCTATCACAAAGTTATATTTTGCTTAAAACTATTTCCATTTTAATATTGAAATTGTTTAAAAGTTACATAATATAAAATATGAAGAGCTTGCCTCGTTAAGTCAAAAAATGAATTATTATAAATGCCTTTTTTTTAATTTTTGAAGACTTAGTTATTTGGAAAATATTTCTAATAATTTGTAAAAATTAAATTTTTAATGATTTAACTTTGAAATGTTTTGTTTAATGTACATTTTGAATGTAACACTCAAAGAAAGGAGGATTCATTTCTTTCATTATCAATTCACACTGCCATTCAGTATTTTGTCATTAAGAAACGAAACCTTTTTAAGCAAAGGACAAAATCGTTAAACTTTAATTGACTTAGTTACGAAGAGTCAATGCCACGAAGTAAGTCACGTACTAAATATTGAAATATTATTTTGACAACACATGTCAAATTACGCGATGACGATGTTGATTTCTAGGTCGGTATTCAGAGACAATCGAGTTTAAACTCAAACTAAGCAATGCCAAAATTTGTGGGCTATAAGTAACAGTATAGAATGGAATCAAATTTTGATATTGTGGAGTGTTTTCATTTTAACTAATTTAAAATTATTTTAAAATTAATTTAAAATCTATACATTTACCATTAATCTGCACATACTCAATGCAATATCCGAGGTGGGGGTATGTAAAATGCCTTGCACAATACCCATGTACACATTTATCTTGTATGTTCTTAATTATGGAGTCTGAATGCAATCTGTAACACTTATTTTTTATTGTCCTAAAATGTTCTATTCTCTCTATGATAAAAACATCCCAGTCGTACAAGTGTTAAGACATTGTCGCTAGTTTCCACCCCATTTATAGGATATTATCTGATTTTATACATGTATATTTACAAAATTAAACTATAAGATGTAATTATTCTGCGTCAGTACTAATAATTTGATATGGTGGTGGACTTCTAGCTGTATCCGTTCTAACAATTTGGTATAACATTTTTCAAATATAGAGTGTATTCCGATATACACTGTGTACCACTGTAGGGTGTGACGTCAATTCAGTATACTGTGAAGCCGTTCCCTTTTAATTTGCTGTACTGGTTACTGTTTAAAACGAAACGCAGTCCAGTATACTGTCATCCCCATTTTTCGACACTGTTCTCAAATGAAAATACTAATCATGTACACGTTTTTTGTTCAACAAGATAAATTATTATTTGAATGTCGTTGCTTTTAAAACTTAATGTCCGAGTTTATTTAAAAAAAAAATATATTAATTAATATTAATAACAATCATTCGTGGAAACTGTTAAATCTCTAGGCGCTGTTATGTTTTTGATAATGTGATCAAAGTACTGAGAGCACCTTACCTCGAAAGCGCCAGTGCTCACAGTACAAAAATGGCGGCGATTTATAACGTCATATATTTCCCTAGGGTACTGCAGCAGTATACTGGCAGTTCTTAACGGAACGAATTTTTCACCAGCTAGAGCACTGAGCAGTGCTCGCAGTGTATATCGGAACATACTCATAATGTTATTTGTGTCACTTCCATAAACTGACTTGTCATCGGCATAATTTGTTTTTACGAGAAGAACTCTACAATGTCTAAATTTGTGCAAATATGGTCTTGGCTCAAATTTTGAAATTGTGGAGCTTGAGTTTAGACTCAAGATGGTATCTGAATACTGGCCTCAAAGATGCGTACCGTGCAATTTATACAGTTTAAAACAGTAATAAATTTAAAAAAAATATTATAATTACGTCCAAACTGTATCCGCTAGCACGGCAACTTGTGTATTCATTACAACGATGTGTGATATACTTCATCACAAAGTAGTTTTAACTGTTCTATACGGAACTGTCGCAATTTTTTTTATTAAAACAATTCAATCATTAATGGCGGTTAGGGAGTTTTAGATTTAGGTTATTTTTAGTCATGTTTTAGAAACATTTATCTAAATAGCACGGTTTCTGGATGGAAATAAAAAAAAAATAGTTTGTAGAAGGTTTCTTTAGTCAATGTGAGATTACAAAGGCCGCTGTGTAAAAATAGTTTGGAGTTTTGCGACGTTCCGTATGACAAAGTTGTAAGTTAATATAACAGTCACTGTATTACATGTAATTTAAATGTAAATAGTTCAGCTTTTGACAAGACTATGGATATTTTTCTTACGACTGATGTGTAAATCGTGTAAAAAGTCCTACGTATTCTTTTTTTAAAGCATTTATTTTATCGATGTTGTGTCGAATTGAATCGTTATGATTTCATAATTTAGCTGCTGTTAGTTTTAAATTATTGCTTTGCTGTCTTTTTAAACATAAATTTTATGGTTATTTATTGGTATCAAATGAGTAATTTTTATGACTGTGTTTGGAAGGGAAATTTTGATAACTGACATATTATGTCGTATTTTAAATAAAGAACTGTGGCAAAGTTCTGTT